GTCCAACCGCCTGCTCAGACTGGAAACCCTATACTATTTGAGAGAAATGGCTGTCCAATCTCTTCTTAAAGTCTTCTTAAAGACTTCCAGTGTTGGAGCATTCAGTTTCTGGAGGCAGGTTGTTCCATTGATCAATTGTTCTGTCAGGAAGTTTCTCCTTAGTTTTAGGTTGCTTCTCTCCTTGATTAGTTTCCATCCGTTGCTTGTTGTCCTGCCTTCAGGCACTTTGGAGAACTACCTCTTCTTTGTGGCAACCCCTGAGATATTGGAATTCTGCTGTCATGTCTCACCTCGTCCTTGTCTTCATTAAACAAGACATATCCAATTCCAGCAACCGTTCATTGTATGTTTTAGCCTCCAGTCCCCTAATCATCATTGTCGCTCTTCTCTGTACTCTTTCTAGAGTCTCAACATCTTTTTTACATCGTGGTGACCAAAACTGGATGCAGTATTCCAAGTTTAGAGTGGTATTAACACTTCATGTGATTTTCATTCTATCCCTCTATTAATGCAGTCTAGCACTGTGTTGGCTTTGTTGGCAGCTGCAGCACATTGCTAGCTCATATTTATGTGATTATCCACTAGGATTCCAAGATCCCTCTCACAATTATTACTATTGAGCAAGGTACCCCCTATACTATACCTGTGCATTTGGTTTTTTGTTGTCTAAATGTAGAATCTTACTTTTTTCACCGTTGAATTTCATTTTGTTAGATAGGGCCCAGTGTTCAAGTCTGTCAAGATCCTTCTGTATCTTAAGTCTGTCTTCTGGAGTGTTGACTATTCCTGCCAGCTTGGTGTCATCTGCAAATTTTATGAGTTCCTCATCTATCCCCTCATCCAAATTATTGATGAACATGTTGAAGAGCATTGGGCCCAGAACAGAGCCCTGGGGCACTCTACTACTCACTTCCCTCCATGTAGATGCAGTTCCATTGAGGACTACACGCTGAGTATGGCCAGCCAGCCAGCTATGAATCCATCTGGTGGTGATACTGTCTAACCCACATTTTTCTATCTTATCAAGTAGTAGGTTGTGATCTACTTTATCAAATGCCTTACTGAAGTCCAAATAAAATATATCCACAGCATTCCTCTGGTCCGCTAATTTTGTCACTTGGTCAAAGAATGTGATAAGATTTGTATGGCATGATCTGTTTTTGACAAACCCATGTTGGCTTTTGGTAATGACTTTGTTTGCCTCTAGGTGTTCGTTGTTTGATTATCTTTTCCAGAATCTTCCCAGGTATTGAGGTCAGGCTGATAGATCTGTAATTTCCTGGATCCATTTTTGTTCCTTTTTTGAAGATGGGAACTATATCAGCTCTTTTTCAGTCCTCTGGTAGTTCCCCAATGCTCCAGGATCTTTGAAAGATATAGTTCAGTGGTTCTGAGACCACATCTGCCAGTTCCTTGAGAACCTTGGGGTGTAATCCATCTGGTCCTGGTGATCTGAACTCATCTATGTTGGACAGGTGCTCACTTACCATTTTCTTGACTATCTAATCCATTTTTAGGGTATGTTTTTGATTGATTGGACTGTTTTTTCCCTTTATGTAAAGACAGATGCAAAAAACAAGTTAAATAGTTCTGCTTTCTCCCTGTTGCTTGTCACTTTCTTGCCACTTTCTCCCACTAATGGGCCAATCATTTTCTTGACTTTTTTCTTGTTTTTTACATATTGAAAGAAGCTTTTTTTGTTATTTTTGACTTTTGTCACAAGCCTTAATTCATTTTGAGCCTTAGCTTTCCTCACTTCATCTTTGCAGGCTCGGGCTATTTGCTGATATTCTGCCTTAGTTATGTGTCTCTCTTTCCACTTGTTATACTTATCCTTTTTGTCTTTCAATTTATCACAGAGTTCTTTATGCAGCCATGCTGGTTTCTTTCGAGAGCTGTTATTTTTCTTCTTTGTTGGTATTGTGCTAGACTGGGCTTTTATTATCTCACTTTTCAAAACTTCCCAAGCTTGAGTTGTTTTCCCCTTGGGGTTTCTCATCCATGGAATCCTTCCTAAGCTTTCTCTAAGTTTATTGAAATTAACTCTTTGAAGTCCAAGACTCTAGTTTGATTGTATTCTATTGGTTGTGCTTGCATAATGTTGAATTCCAATATTGCATGATCACTCCCCCCCCCAAGGTTCCCGTGGCTTCAACACCTTCTAGCATTTCATCCCTGATAGTGAGAATTAGGACCAATATGGCTAATCCCCTAGTTCCCTTCTCTACTTTTTGTTTATGTTGATGTACAAAAATAATTTAAAGTTTCTAGGAATCCATGTGTTGTCTTGTTTCTTATCTAGCCAACCTCAACTTCTTAACTGAAGAGTTATTGCTAATAGCATCAGAGATCTAACTGGCTTATTTGAATTAAGAAATTTTCACCCATTATTGCTTTATTTATATTTCTTTATTCCATTTATATATCATATTCATCTTTTAATCTTATGTAACTATGTTTCTATGCCTTATGTTGCTTAAGGCTGATCAATGACTGAAATAAAGTACTAATCTGATTTAGCTGAGTTTTAGGTACTGCAAAACAACAATGTAGTGTATATATTCTAAGGGTTAAGGTATCTGACCATCTAAAGTAATTTTGATATATTACTAAAAAGGATAAATGTAGGATAAAAAATTGAACAAGTATAATAATTTGTAATTAAGTAGAATGAATTAGGAGAAGCTATATAGTGCAACAAGGTGCTATAATAATGAAGATAATATCATTCAGAGTTCCCTTTTAAAAATGCATGGAACGTAATGATACAACAAAATGATTCCTGTAATCTCATTTTAGATTATTTTTTAAAAAATATATAATTTTTTAATTTGTCAATTTTTAAGAGAGATAAGAATTGCCTATAAAAATCTAAAATTTACTCTTTGAGAGACTTCATGGGCATATTCCTGTAGTTTTCTTGACAACAGCATAGAAGTGCTTGACAGTGCCTCCTGCTAGTGCTTTTTGATCTGGCTGTCTCTCCTCTGCGTACTAGCCAAATCCAATCTTGGATAGCTTTTTGAACAAGTATGAACAAGGTCAGCTAGGCCATATAGTACATTTGCTAAGAAAATGGATTGTGAATCAGAAATTTTCTAGTGCACATGACAACCATATTATGAATTTAGAAGTTGATGTGGAGCAAGATTCCATATATATTTGTGTTGGTGAGAACATGTGGAATTTTGAGAGCATGTAATGGACCCTTTCACAGGAAGATTCCAGGGAGGTCTTATCGCTTCACTGAATGACTGTTACAGTGGGCACAGTTATTTTCAAAGCATTTCTACATTTAGAAGGCAAACTGATGACTGCTACCCTCACCCCCCATTTGTATATTTTATACCTGACCTGAGGCATACTATAAATAAAGACAATGTTGGAGATCTGTTCATAGGCTTTGTAAGATGCCAGTTTCTTAAAAATAAATATAATTAAAAATACATATGAACAGTCAAACAGGGGTGGGAGTTTGGCAGGACCAAGAAATGTGTCCAGGGAACCACAATGGACATTCAAGAATTAGACAAGTATTTTATTTCACCTTTAGCTCTTCATCCAAAATTTAAGGGCAATAATGGAAGTTATTGAAAGAAGTATTAGCTCAATCTATATTTTAAGGATCTTGTCCCATCAATGCTATTGGAAAAAATCTTTGGCAGAGAAATGAGCACTTCCTAGGACTACATAGATCAGCTAAGGTAGAAGCTGAGGAAATAGTTTTTTCAATTTTTGCTGCACTTTCCCCATTAATTGATCTTTTTTTTAGTTAAAGATTTCCACTGACTTCTAGAATCCATGGTTCCAAACTAAACACACTCCATTTACCCAATTACCACTGGAATAATGGTAGTGGTAGAGGCTTCTGCTGGCATATTGAAGCAACCACCTGCAGAGAGGAAAATCTATTGTAGGAATTAAGACCCACTAGAACTTCTAATAGCTTATTCATCTCACCCACTACCAAAAAGCACTATAATTATTCAACAACTCTTCTACTTTTTTTCTTTGAGGCTGCTATTGTTCCTAAAATATATAGTAGAAAATCTTCCTCTTAATCTTTTGTTAAATGCAGGAAGGATGGATGATTGATTTAGGAAATGTATAATCAAATCTGTAACAGATGTACATCAAGCAGGAAGTACATTATTAAAGATTTTCTCCATGTCGTGTGTCTGTGTGTAAAACTGACACATGTAAAAAGTGCAGCTGATAATATGTTGTTATAAATTGGTATATTTTAACACTGGCTAACAATTATACATAATTAAGATTTAGACTTTATATAGTAATCACAACCCAATGTAATAGACTGCATCTCACAGTCTTGTGTAAAAGAATGACAATGATGAGAATGAGACAAAATAAATGAACATAAATGACTCTTCACCAGAAGAACAAACTGAAAGTCCACTGTAAAGTAGTAGCACTTGCAAAGATAATACCACTGATTGCAGGATTTGAGGTGGTGGTGCAGTGCATTATCTAAGGCCCATAATTAATATTTTGCTGTGTCTCTTAACAATCAGCTGTTCTAAATACAAGGGTGTTATTAGAAATCTTCAGTTTTTAAAAAATGTAAATAAGCGATCTAAATACTTTTGATTAATTATTTCTGTGTATCTTTAAATTGTCAGTTTAGGATCCTTTTTTCATATGAAATAAAGAGCATTGGGACTCCTGCATTTAAAAAGAATCCTGCCAATCAGTTGCATCAGCCAGTATAAACTAAAACACAATAAATGTTCTGAATATAATAGAGAAGTTATCTCAAATCTATAATAAATAGTATTGAATAAGATGTGCAAGTAATTGCCAGTCAAGATAAATACAGCATAAAACTTTAGGCCTTACAGTTTTCCCCTCACAGTTTGCTCTTCTACCTCTCTCAAAGGCAAATGACAGAAGCTGTAATGATTTTTAAATACTGATCTGACAGCCAGTTCATGGGAACACACTGATAAATAGAATTTATCAGTCATTCAGGTCATTCTTACTTGATGAAGGGTCTGTTATCCTCAAAGCTGAAGAATGCATAGACATAAAGACAAGAATGTCAGCATTAGAATATAATGACAAAAAGGTACCATATAGGTAAGCAATCAAACAAGTACATCTCCAATTCAAATCATAGAAAGCTAGAGAAAAAAATTGGACAACCAGGTTGAAAACTAACCTCTTTTAATGCCATTAAAAGATAATGTTTTGTCAGCCTACTAATAATGTGAACAACCAAGGAAAAATCACCAATGTTGTTTAATTAACAATACATTTCTACAGCCTTTAATAAGAATACATTTTTTGCAGCTATATTCTTTCTGATTAAGCATTGATTTTCATGCTGTGCTTTTGAAATTAGTCTTTTCAGAAACAAACATACTGTAATATGTAAATAACCACACATGATAATTTCTTTTTAAAATATAATATGAAAATTATGATCTACATGAATTTTTGAAAAAAGGATGAAGCTGTAGTTCAAAAATCTTGTTTTCCTTCTCATATCCATTACTGCTGAATAGATATTTTCTGGAAGTTTAGGTGTCTTTATAGCAGGGTAGGTATGTAGTCTATGTCAGCAAACTGACAAAGAATGATGTTGACTATAATTCACTTCATCAGTTACATCTGAATAAGTGGAACAAAAATGTCTATAAACTTTTATGCCATGATCAGTGTATTACTCCAAACACTTTGAGGTTTTTCACTGAACCTGTTTCTCCATCAGCTCTCTTAGAATAAGAGTACACATTACACTATACTGATGATGCTAAAAGTAACTATACAACATAAGCCTTGGAGGTCTTCTAATCCAACCCCTGCTTAAGCAGGAGACTATCTACCATTCAGGACAAACATTTTGTTCAATTTCTTCTTGGAAACCTCCAGTGATGGAACACCCACAACTTCTGGAGGAAAGCTCTTCCAGTGTCTGCTAACCAGACACTGACTATTGAGAATTCTGAATTGTTTTACTGGGATACCTCTCAAAATTATCATTTAGCTAAATTAAGGTATAAGAAGGAATAGATGAGATTTCAGAGTTAAAAAGTTAGAAACATTTTCTTTTCTTTCAGTCGTTAAATTTATTATTCATTTAGATTTGTATCTCACCTTTTGTACAGGAGTTTAAGGTGCTGTCTCCTATTATTTCCACATAATAACTCCGTGTTTTCTCCTATTATTTCCACATAATAACTCTGTGAAGTAAGACTGGCTGAAGGAGATAGACTGGCCCAAAGTTACTGAGCCAGCTCCCATGGCTGAGGCTGGACTAGAATCTGGGTCTCTCTATTCCTAGTCTAACTCCTTAACCACTACACTGATATGGCACATCATTTTTTAATAGTATACTGGTTTGATATAGTACATATTAATTGTGATCAACCCAGATTTGTTTGCTGAAATGGGTGATTATAAAAATCAAATAAGTAAATAAATAAACTGCTTCTATCAATATGAAAAACTGCTAGTTCGAAAGGAAATGAATTCACAACTGATCATAAGTCCCTATTTTAAAAAAAACTGCACAGAAAAACATCAAGACAAAAAAACCCGAAGAATTAAAAAGGAAGACAAATAAAAACAGAAAAAAAAAACAAAACAGTTCCATGTCTGTATATGTGTATGAATACATATGTGATCTCAAGGAAAAATACAAACATTTTAAACACAATCATTCTTAAAAATATAACATTTGTGCAGAGAAACATAATCTTTTAAGAAAAACTGTCAGGAATGATGAGCAAATTTGTTTAAATCTATTCTCGACTCTAAGATTCTTCAAAGCTCTTTGCTGACATCATATTAATTTCCACCAAAACAACTTCCACAATTTTAAATGTAACTAAACCAAAGAAAGATGAAGGACCTCCATAATGCTTCCTTAACTGAAACATCTATTTTTCTGGTGGTTCACAGCCATGCCTAATCTGAAGCATTTTTTTCTTTATTGGATCTTAACAGCTCTTGGAGTATGTTTCACCAGCTTCAGCTGTTTGCTAAAAGCAGCTATTTCTGGACAGAATTTAACTTCAGTATTAATTTTCCTATTTTATTATTATAATAAGTTATAAGTGATGTGGCCCTTGAAATGACATGAAAATTTCACTCAATTCACTATTTGGCTTCTATAATTCTCAATTGTGTTGCCGTTTGAAGCATTATTACCCAAAGTTTTAAAAAAGAATCACACTTACTGAGTAATCATTTGGACAGTACATTTTGATACTTACCATTAAAGGTTGGAAGACCAATCGCAATAATCCAAGTGTTAACAATGTTGATTGGTGAGCTACAGTATCTTTTCCGTATTATACTTCAATATAAGTCAGACCTGTCTTTGAAATTTGACTGACAATACTACATTTTTAGCCAAAGGACTTTTTTTTATTCTAGTTTGTTTTATAGACTTGGGACTTCTTATTGTTGCATGACATCTGCGTGTAGAAAGTTGCACTTTTACTTTGCTAGAAGTACATTACTTAAGAAATTAGTAATATTAGCTACCAATGATGGCCAAGAAGCATGAAGTTTGAAATAAGCCAGGTAAGTGAAACCTTTTACATACTGACTTCAAACTATATAAAAAGATTTGAATGCATCTCTCTGGCATAGGTGCACACATGGACACACAGTCACAAAACCTGAAAGGTAATTAGAATTTAAATAATTTCAAAACTACTGTTCTTGGGGATGGAAGGACAGACTTTCTGTTTGTCTTAAAATAGGGGTTCCTAATTTTTTTCCATCCTACCTCCCTTTAGTATAATTTTAAAGTACACACTTCCCCTAAAATCTAAACACCAAAATGAACACAAATGAATAATGAAAATAATACAATGAAACTTTGGGAAAGGTGGATCTATTTTACCTATGCAACTAAAAGGCTCTCCAAAACTCCTCTGGACTCTACAAGGGAGGTACATCTCACAGTTTAGGAGATTCTGCTTTAACAGAAAGTGGAAGCTTTGGACATCATCCAAGCATTTCTCATACTCAAAGTATGGATCCTCAAAATGGATCCAAAAAGATCCAGACTTGAACAATGGACCCTATCTAACAAAATGAATTTTAATATGGAGAAAAGCAAAGTTTAAATATAGGCAGGAGAAATCAAAGATATAAGTACAGACTAGGTGAAACTTGGCTCAAGTTTGAAGTCCTTGAAGTCCTAGTGGATGATCACTTGAACATGAGCCAGCAGTGTGCAGCAGCAGCCAAAAAAGTTAATACAATCCTGGGTTGTGTAAAGAGAGGCACAGAATCAAAATCACACAAAGTATTAGTACCGCTTTATAAAACCCTAGTAAGAATATTGTAAGCAATTTTGGTCACCATGCTACAAAAAAGATGTTGAGACCTTGGAAAAAGTTCAGAGAAGAGCAACTAAGATGATCAAAGGCCTGGAGATTGAAACATATGAAGAACGGTTGCAGGACTTGGGTCTGGCTAGTCTAAAGAAAAGAAGAAATAGGGGTGAAATAGTATTCCAGTATTTGAGGGGCTGCCACCAAGAAGAGGGGGTCAAATTATTCTCCAAAGCACCAGAGGGCAGGACAAGAAACAATGGTTGGAAACTGATCAAAGAGAGAAGCAACCTGGAATTAAGGAGAAACTTCCTAACAGTGAGGACAATTAACCAGTGGAACAGCTTGCCTTCAGAAATTGTGGGTGCTCCATCACTGGAGGTTTTTAAGAAGAGACTAGACAATCACTTGTCTGAAATGGAATGGAATGGAATAGAATAGAATAGAGTTGGAAGGGACCTTGGAGGTCTTCTAGTCCAGCCCCCTGCTCAAGCAGGAGAACATATACCATCTCAGGTTCTCCTGCTTGAGCAGGGGGCTGGACTAGATGACCTCCAAGGTTCCTTCCAGATCTATTCTTTTCACAAAATATTTAAGAGAGCTCATGAAGTTCATTCCCAATAGCCATCTACTGAGAGTAGCCATTCACCCAGAGTAGGAGAAAAGAGAGAATGAAAGCAGATACAGTACCCCTAGATACAGCAAAAAGATCACTGTAAATATTCTACTCTCATAGAATAACCAAAGCACATATTCCAGTAAAGAGAAGTTCCCTGAAGATGGGCTCCAGCATGAGTCCAAAAGCTTGGAAGAATAAACGTCTGGTCCTGGTGACTGAGCCAGATTGGATCTTGCAACTGTAAATATTGTTTGTTCCTGGAGATGTCAGACAAATCCTTTTATTAACTCATGTCTTTTTTATCCAACCACTCAAAATATAATTAAGAATTATGAGATGGGTAGGAAAGAGGGCTACTATGGCAACTTAAGGATTGAGTTCAGTAGGTGTTGCTTGCAACAAAAAGGGACCTAATCCAATTTCCTAGGGGAACTTAGAGTTGAAAAAAAATTAATTAGTTGACTTAATGAGAATTAATCTCCATTACCCTTGGAAGTCATGCAGTTTATACCAAGGGAGATGATTTCTTAGAAAGCCCTGCCTTGTTTCAAAAGCAAAAATGCAGTAGATTCTGTCTCTAAGGTTGAGCATTATATACATAGTATATAGCTGATTTGCAGGCAAACAAGGTCTAATTTGAATCAGGAATTCATGAATGATATGCTTAAACCTCCCTTAAAGATCTTAAAATATAATTATCTGTAGGGAATAAAAAGAATGGGCAATTTCAGAAGCTAAGGTTACTATTTAGGATCATCATTTCCAGAGATATATAAAAGAAGAGGAATGAGTTATATTTTATAGTTAGAAATTAGATCCAGAAATTGCATCCAAAAGAAAGTCCGTTAAGTACTGAAAGACTTTATGAGAAGTGATAAAAAAGGGCAAATTTTACTTACTGGATATACAAAAGAGGTGTGTTAAATTTCTGAAAGATTCTTGGGTAAAAAAAAAAGTGAATAGAAAACAAGCCCTGGAAGTATATATGATAGGGTTAAAAATTAAACTGGTTAAAGTTCAGGGAAGGAATACAGGGTTGGCTTATTTGATCAAGATTAAAATAGAAAATTAGTTATATCTCTTATATTAGTTCCCT